TAGTCGATGGCAACAGAAAAAACCTCGTATCATTGACTATGTGGCCTGTAACTATGGTGCTGTTCAAGACCTCACGGCTAGACCTGAAAAATGGGCCGACCACCGCGCCATGTCTTTTTCTGGCCCTCTGTTCGGAAAAATGAACGGTGACTTGTTTGAAGTTGTTCCCTGCAATACTTATTTGCCATCACTATGCGTCTTGGCGCTTGCGTCTGGATGCTCTGTGGAATGCACATGAGGATTCGTGGAACTCACAATTCTCCGATCTTGAGGCTCTGGGAAACGATGATACTTTAGAACCCCAAGCTAAGGCTGACAAGGTTTGGTCTAAGTTTAATCAACACATGGAAAACTTTTTGCTGGATGCGGCACGGCGCTCGCCGGTGCCCATGCGTACCACCAAACGACCTCATCGCATGAAAGGCGCCCCGGCTGTTTTTCGCCAAAAGAGTGTTTCCATCCACGAGCCCTATGATTTGGGTACCCCCAATAAAGCCCGAGTTCTCCGGAAACTTCTTGGCAGGCTTTCGGAAGTACAATTCCGCTCTTGGCACAACCAGGAGCTCCCCGATGACCATCCTCTCTGGATCAAAATCAAAAGGTGCCCCTTGTGGCACCCGGGTCGAACCGTTGAAAATACTCAGGCAGAGTTAGACCTGCTGGAGAGTGAGACAAAACGCGAACGGCTGGCGCATTGGCGAGCCCGGCTTCGATCACCGCCGACCGAAGTCTATCGTTGGTTGCGGTTGCGTCACAAACGTGACCACACTGAGGCCCTCACCAAAATCCGTGAATTTTGGAGCCAAATCTGGGAAAGGGAGGTTTCTGATGAGGAAATCCCCCCTGAAGACTATCTTCGCCGATGCGGTTTTGCGCCGGTTGACCCTCAACATTGGGAGGGGGTGTCACTTGCAGCCTTGCGTAAGGTCGCAGTTAGGCAGAAAGGCTCCTCTGGTAGTACGGACGGATGGACTGGAGACGAAGTTTTTTGTTTCCCCCCAATCATGGTTCAGGCGGTTCATCAGCTTTTCAGGTTGATTGAGCATATTGGCCGTTTCCCGGCCCAGTGGGGTGAATCGCGCCAAGTTCACCTCGATAAGGGAAAACCCCCCAGACAGCAAGATGAAGCTATCTCGGCAGCCAATTTGCGCACCATCTCGGTGCTTTCGGTGTTTTGGCGTTGGTACGCCAGTGCATTAATGAAAGGTACTTCAATGACAAACTGGTACGAAAATCTTCTTGAGGATTCCCAGCACGGTTACCGGTCAGGCAAAGACGCTGTCATGGCAGTTGTGCCACTTGCTGAAGCATGGACTAAGAAGCACCATTTGGCCTCCCTCGACTTGGCTCAAGCATTTGACCGATTGAGACCTACTACGGCAACTCGAATTTTTACTTTCTTTGGTATGCCTTCGAAATTAGCCCAAGCTATTTGCCACTTTTGGAGGTCCCAACAGCGGGTTCTTCTGTTTGGCCCTCACGTGTTGCCTCAAAAGATTCGTGTTCAAGCTAGTCTCCCCCAGGGGTGTCCGCTGTCTCCGTGGGGGATGAACCTCTCGTTAAAGGCGGCGGCGGACATTCAGAGCAAATTCCCCCGATCCAAACAGGTTTTGTTCATGGATGACCGGAGTTTTACTAGCCCCTCTGTGACCAATCTTCTGAATATTTGGAAAGCTTGGCAGCTCCACTCGAAGCAATTAGGGCTTCTTGAGAGTGCTGTGAAGACCCAGTTTTCTTCACGCAACAAGCCAGGACGGCGGGGTCTGGCTGCGTGTGATGAAATCTTCCCCTATGTGAAAGTCGATCTTACTGCTCTGGGCGTTTCTTTTGCTAAAGCCGGTTCAAAACCCACACCCAAGCAGCTAGGACGATTCCGTGATGCTACCGAGACGGCCCTGAAGCTGCGAGCTGCCCCGGTCTTGGGCCGTGCAAAGCTGTTCATTGCTGCAGGGGCGGCTTGCTCCAAAGCCGCTTTCGGATGGGTCTTGAGAGCGCCCACAAGAGGACTTTCCCGACCCTACTTCAGGCGGGTTTCAACCACAAACAGGCCAGTCCCTTTTTGACCCAACTCCTGTTTGGCCATACCTTAGATAGATGTTCACTTCATGTCGGGCATGGCGGCGGTGTCCGGTCTGTACCGATACCATAAGTGGATTCAGGGGGTGACTTCCGACTGGACGAAACTGGGCGGATTCGCCGCTCGGTGTCGAACCTGCTGAAGGATCTGCAATGGAATGAAACTGGCCAATGGTGCTGGACTCATCCGGGCACTGGTGTGAGTTTTTCACTTAACCCCGGTCACGGTGACTTCCCGGCAGATAAAAAATTGTTGGGACACGTGTTGCGTTCTAGTTGGCGACTGGAACGTTGGAAAAAGTTCCTTGGATCCGGCCGCCGGGATGCGGCCCAACTTACACACTGGGCGTTTAGCGAAGAGCGCCTCAAGAAGGCGCAGGCCGCTTGTAAAACTCAGGACCGACATGTCGTTGCAATCCTGCGCGGAGCTTTTGTTTCCCCAAAACGATGGCAAGTCATGGCACGTGACCCCAATACAGCTCGTTCCGGCGGCTGCCCCTTTTGTGGCCACGCTGTTGGTACCCGTGACCATGTACTATGGGCGTGCAAGGTCGCGAATCCGGATCAGACGAGCCCAGCTGATGAGCTCGAGCGTCACCTCGGGTGGCCAACCGATGGTGACTTTGAGCCTCTAAGGCAAATGGCCGCGATACGCCGCCAGCTCCTCGAGCTGCGGCGCAACTGAGGCAATGAAGCGCCTCCGCTGCGGTCCGCTGCCCGGCGCTGCTTGACGCGGAGCTGGTGGCGCGTGATCGCATTCTACTTCTGCTGCCGGTTGTTCCGGTGCTCCTCCAGAGATGTTCAGGCGTTGCCCATGAGAGGTGTCGCTGGTGCTCGAGTGGTCGTTCTCAGAAGTCAAAACTGTCATGTTCGTGTGACATGTCAAGTTGTGTTGTTGCTGTTCCCCTGCAACGTGGCTTGTCTCCTTGGTGCCTGGTAAAACGCCAAAAGGTAGTGTCAGCTCAATTGAAACATGTGTTTGTTCCCCAACACCTGTCTCATCTGAGTGCTTTCTGTGATCATCTGAGCCTGATCCAGCACGGCAAACCCATTCTGGTTGTGGTGCTCCCCAAACATGATTCGTCGGTTGTGAGTCCTCCCCTTCACACGTGACAATTGTCGTGTCCCCTGTAGAGCCAGAGATAGCGTGGCGCCCCGTTGAAGCCGGTGCAGCTGGGTCGAGTGGCTCATCAGCAAAATTGGTTTTCAGTTCACACTGAGTTCCCCTGTCTGTTTGACTCTTCTGTTCCATCACATGACCAATTGTCATCTTCTGGTAACGGAAAGGTCCACCCCTGCAGCGTGGCATGGCTGAAAGTGTTACCCACAATGTCCTGGTGAAGGTGGAACAGAGCCATCCGTTTTCCTGTGCTTCGTTGGGTCATCCGGGTCCTGATTGGGCCGCTTGAGAAGTCCATGTAATTGGCTCTTCTCCTCTTCTGAGCGAGATGCCCAGACTGTGTACAAAGGATTCTGCTGCCATGGGGATTTGCTCAGGTTCACCCATGGTTGCTGCCAGTTCAGCGGGTGCTGGAGTCTGATTTACGGCCTTCATGTAATCCTGTGAGAGCTGATTGAGCTTTGACTCCATCGATTTTGTCTTGGAGCTGATTCTTGCGGATGGACAGGGCTTTCAACTCCGGGTCCGTCACTTGGCCTTTGAGCTTGGTGGCAATCTCCCGGTGAGTAGATGGTTCTGGTGCCGTGGTTACGATCTGTTGGACCTGTGGTGGCAGTGCATCCATGTGGGTTTCCAGGATGTCTGTCAACTCGGGTTCTTCTGGCTTGCTGGGGCCGATGCCGAGTGCCTTGTGTGTCCTCTGGTAGGACTGACCTGTTGGAGAGCAATTCGGTGGCCTCCTGTTGCATCTTTGTTTGTTTGAGTGGTCTGAACTTTCCAAGCCCGGTGGAGTGTCCAACCATTGCTGATTTGCTGGATGCCTGTGGGCGGGTCGTCCATACCCTTTGCCCTTGCCCGTACCAGCAGTTGGAGTCGCCCACCACGTGCCACATCTGCGGCATTTGGTGCCTGGCTTCACTCGATCTGTCCAAATCCAGTTGCTGCAGCCTCATGTACGCTCGACCCCATTGTGGCGTCATAGTCCCTGGGATAGGGCTGCTTTCAGGCCTAGTGATAGGCAGACAGGTAGGCAAACTGGGCGTCTTCGAACTTGAGCGGGCCTGTGGGTTCTTCAGTGAAAAAGGCCCAGTCACCAGGGAGAGCTCAGAGTGATAGCCAGGCGAGAACCTGCCAGCCACCGTAGAGCTAGGCAGGAAAGGCCGAGATGTAGACGGAGATTGCGAGCAAAGAGCGGAGGTATGTCACAAAGTTCCTGGGCCTTGCTCGGTGTCGTTCTCCGTGCACCTGTAGCGCAAGTGGATTTGCGCACTAGCCTGATTTCACTGGCCACGGGCTTGAGCAGCTTGTGGCTTGAGCCATGTATGTATGTATGTATGTATGCAATGTAAAATAAAATAATGCAATGTAATAGAATGCAATGTATGTATGTATGTATGTATGTATGTATGTATGTATGTTCGAAGGAATGGATGGATGAATGAATGAATGTATCTGTGTATGCACGTATGTGCATCAGGGGCGAAGGTTCTGCCTTCACTTGCGCTTCCAATTTTTGTGTTTAGTTCAGGTCCTTGATGTTCTGTCATAGCATGTGCGCACATGAACCCCAGCCAATCGCGATCAATGCACGGGGCACGGCCACATGGATCGAGGAGGGAGGAGGATGTCCAAAGTGCAACATGTAAAGTTGTAAAGCACTTATATTTTATTTTTTGCATTTTCTGTTTTGTTTTTTGTTGGACCCTGTTCAGTGACACAGTGATCTTCATTTTTCAATTTTGATGTCTCTATAGACTCTATAGGACTGCCTCACGTGCGTGGCCTCATGTGTGCATCATCTCAGGTGCGCTCGATGACGGTGAAGGATAGAGGCTTGGAACGCGTGAGCAGGGATCTGAGATTGTCAGCTGGCTGAAGCCACCAGCGGTGATCCCCAGAGTCACCCCGACATCTGGTCTATGGCGAGATGGCCCAGGCCTGGCCAAGCTGGACCTTTTTCGAGAAAGGTTCCCAATGGACGTGAGGAGCTCAGGGCAAATCAGGGTAAATCAGGGCAAATCACAGTCTTGCTGCTAGCAGCTACTTTGTCAGGAACGTGCCTTTCAGTATCTTTGCAACTCCAGTGTGGAGATGCAACGCGAGGCTGGGATGACATGTGAAGGGGCCGTTCTCGGGAGTCTTGTCATAGCTTGTGGAAGTGATCCACAAACTTCCGGACAAAAGGTTCTGCGGCGCCGTAGTTCAACTCAGGTTTCAGGCTCAACTCCAAACGCCCTCAGCTCCTCAGCCCCAAGCAAATCTCAGAATTTAAAGGTTCAGAAGGCTTCAAACATGTCCAAAGTGAGAAGCCTCCTTCACCAAAGGGCAAAGCCAACAGAACATGACGAGTTCGTGCTGCTCTGGTTTGAGTCGCAGCTGAACCTGGTGTTACAGGCAAACGGGCGTCAGGTGTTCAGAAAGGCAAAAACTAAAGGTGATGTCCAACGCCAGTTTCATGGGTCAGTGTCTGTGAGTTGGGAACAGCCCACGTGGCAGAACTGATCTGCCTAGGCACTGCAGAACTTCTTGCCAAGGAATCTGGATGCCACAGTCTTAGTGGGAATTTGGTTTTCTGGCAGACAGGAGTCACTGGTCCAGTTTTGCGTTCACATATGTAAACACGGTGATGTTTGTTGTGCTTAGGAGACTGACTACTCTCGTCAGCCGCTGCCTCAACACAAGCAGTTTGATTGCATACGGAGCTTGAGCTGGATCGAGAAGTAAGAAGTCTCAGAGAACCATGCGCACTGTGTTTGTGTTTTGAGCTGGGCTCAGGTTGACGTACTTCTTGAAACGAGGGCTTAGATCTCCAGTTGCCGGTCCCGGCGTCTTTGAGGAGAGATGAAACATTATTCCCACTATAAGCCTTAAAGCACTGTAAGAGTGGGCAGGAGAGGCGCTCAGTGGACTGGAGAAGTGTCCCTGACATTCGGGAAGTCATCCGACCAGGCGAGAGATTTCAGTCGCTGCAAAGTGCATCGAGCCTCTTGTTCCTAATAGCTCCTTGCTCCTAGTAGCGATGCCAGGAGCCCCTAGTAGCGTCCTTGCTCCTAGTATGTCAGGTGCAGTCTACATCCGAGAGTCCACGTCTCGAAGAGATCAGATCATTCCTGGTCGAAGCGGAAGAGGTGAGGTCAGCAAAGGTGCAGGCTGGGCACATGAGCTCCACACTATGCTAACTTGTTGTGTGTGTGTGTGTGTCTGTGTTTGTTGTTTTTTGCAGTCCATCTGCTTGCACCCCACACACGGACACAACGCACCCAACGGTTTTCGGTTTCCGACCTTTTCAGCGAAGGTGGCCCGCGCCACAGCCGCTTGCGAGCCTTCAGGGCGCAAGGAGCTGAGACGCGACCAGTTGCGATAGGCGTTCCTAGTAGTAAGGCCAGGAGCTACTAATAGCGGCCTTGCTCCTAGTAGCGATGCCCTTGCTACTAGTAGCTCCTTGGAATTACTACTAGGAACACGGACGCTACCAGTAACAAAGGGCATCGCTACTAGTAGCAAGAAGCTACTGAAGTGTCTCGATGTGAGGAAGACGCTTGTCGCTCCATGTGAGGCAGTACCCGATGGATGACCGAGCCTTTGATTATCTCATCCAGGTTGGGTTTGCTGGTGGATGGCTGTTGCGGACAGACGCCTCGAGAATCAATGACGTGTTTGTGCTCAGGCAGAGCCTCGTGTTCAGGAGGTCTTCTTAGAGGAATTTCAGCCAAAACGATGTTGCCCCAGAGTGATTGAGATGTTACACAATTTCGATCATCCTTGTTTCTTGGATTTTGATTTCATCAGGTCACGCGGATGGCGACTATTCCGCTTCTGTCACCAGCTACTTGAAGGTGCTTGCGCTGGATTTTTGTTCAGGAACTGTCATGAACGCCAGGTCATTTCATTCTTTTGAATTCTGTTGAGGTTGTCAGAGCCAAGGCGGTCAGCTTAGGTGGCGTGTGTACGTGCAACTGGCACCGCCACAGAAGTCTTCAGGTCGAGTCAAATGGCTCTCCTGGAGCAGCGCCCGTCAAAGGCAAAGGCAGAAGCAAAGGCGAATTCAGCGAACTCGGACACTCATCGTACAGACAAAGGAGTTCTCCTGTGCGGTCTTTGCAGGATATATCAGGGTTGATTGTCGTATGTTGTCAATGAGATCTTGACAGGTGACGAAGCCCTGTTGGAGAATTTCCGCAGGCTTTTGCTGCCTCAAAGCGCTTTTCTGCAACAACCACACTCAAGTTTTGAATGACACCTGCAGGCGGTATCCAATGGATGACCGTGCCTTTGAGCCAGCCTCCCAGGAAGAGAACAGCAAACCAGTCTTTTCCGATCTGAGATCTTGATTTTTAGTGGATCTGTCGAAAGCATCCAGTTTTCTGTCAGGTACCTCTGCAGTGCAGACGATTCTGTACGTCAGAAAGTACTTGAGAGCTTCAGGTGCACGCGACTGGAAAGTCTAGGAGTGTTGGACAGTCTAGTCGATTGGACATTCGTGACCGACCTGGAAGGCCTAAACATGAAGGAGAGGCTGACTATTCAGGACGCTTTGCTTTCATTATGATGAATGATGAAGACGTGATGTTCATGAAAGGTGGCCTGAGCTACAGTTCCACTTGCTTTGGCAAATGGAATGAAACTGCATCCAATTTTGATTCCTGGATGTTGCAGAGATGTGTGCAAACCATGTTTGTTCCGGGGTGCCCAAGCAAAACACGCCCTTCCGGTCCACCCCCTGGCTCTCACTGCCAGGCCTGATCACATCCTTCATCCGTTCATTTAGACAACGATGATGCCATTTGTGGCAGTGCCACCACCCCAATGTGCACATAGTGCATGTGGCGTTCGGCCGCAGCATTGCGCATGTTTGCGCTTCAGCTTGGCAATGCACAACCGAAATGCCGATTGACTCTGATAACGTTTCGACAAGGAAGAGCCAGAGGCAAAAAGGTGTTGGCACATTGCAGCTTGATGAGTTCAACAATGTGAACAGGCACTGGCTAAAATGTGGATGCGCGCAGGCAAGATGCTCAAGCAGGCCTCTTGCAAGTTAGCCCGGCCAGAACTGACGGCTTCAGCAGGTCTAGTGGTCTTAAAGACTTAGGACAAACAACAGGAATGAGCAGAGCAGTAGTGCGAGGCAAGGGCAGCGGACAGGTTTTGGTGAAGTCAATCGTCAATCACAGCTAGGAGGTGCTGAGTGTCAGAGATTCCTAGCGCATGTGGTGGGAGCCTTTTTGCTAACCCTGCTAAGTTTGTAAGTTCAGGACATTTAAACGTAGCTTGCCTGGCTCAGATCAGAAGTCCACGTGGCCATAGTCTCTCTGGGATTTGTGTTTGAAGTCTCCAAGTGAGCCATGTTCTTCCGCAGTCCCATTCTTCTCTTGGACAAGTCCAAGCGACTGGTGGTGAAACTGGCTAGCTCGGTGGGTACGGGCTTCGCATATTGGACGGCAGCTTGCCCAAATTAATTGGCACATGCAGTCTCGACCAGAGCTGCTCGTAGCGACTACAGGGGAAGAAGATGCCATCATCTACAAAAGATATGCGTAGTTTTCCAAAAAATCTAGGAACCAAATCATTAGCGTGAGCTATCCTGCGTTCATATGTAGTAACTAATTAGCAGCTAGTAGCTAGCTAGTAGCTACCTATCTCTTCTACCTCTCCTAGCGGCCTACCCCCCCGGCCAAAAATTTGAAGAGTTTTGGGCAAGAAATCCATTTGGGATGTTTAGGCCACTGACCGTGGCCAGTGCGATTTCATCGTATCTTCGTCTTGCGGAGCTGTTCCCTTTTGGGCTTCACAATGCGTGGCGTGGAAACCAAGGAGAAGTCCCCTTTGAAGAAGGATTTTCGGATGGCTTTGCGGAAGTTCGCGTCTTGGCTAAGTTCTGGCTGGTTTTGTTTGTCTGTTTGTTTGTTGTTTTTCTTCCACCATGCAGCATTTAGCTGGGTGCATGGGTGCATGCTGTTGGAAGCTCTCGGCTTGGCCAGTGCAGGATCCGCTCGTGAACCGCCATGTCATGTTCTACGAGGCAGGTAGCTCAGCCAAAACCCTTTTGCCACTGTGGCTTTTGACATGTTTTGATTCTTTTCGGACCTTCTGTGGAGATGGTGCAGGTTGCTCTGGGAAAGCAAAGAAAAGGCAAGAGGGGGCGACCACAAACTTGGGCAAGATGGACGGGCATCGGCATTGAGGATATGGTGGCGTGATCTTGTTTAACATTCCGGCTTGCCCATCATGCTACCCTTGTTGCATTTATATACACATGTTCCATGGTGGTGCTGAAATGAACAAATCCAAGTTACATCCCTGGCTGCAAGGCAATATTTTTGGCATTGACGTTTATCCAGCGCGTCTGAGAAACTAGAAGCATACACGCCTCAAGTCAAGGTCTTTCCACGCCCCCGCTGTCCCACACTTCAAAACCTCTCCACTCGCCCCAGAGCCCACAAGACCTTCTCCAGCAAATGCTTTGCAACTTGCCGGGCCCTGCTGTCATCTGCTTGATTGCATGTTGCAAGCTGAAACATGCTGCTTTGGAACCTGCTCCAGAACGTCCTTTTCACCCTTGATCTGGAACCTGCTTCAAACCTGGAATGACCAACTGCTCCAGAAACTGCTCCGACCTCCTCCGGTGCTTATACCATGGCTGAAGTGCTGTTGGAATTGACGCTGGTGCTTGTGCTTGAGTAAAACGACGTAGCAAAAATATACATCAGGTTGTTTCAAGAAATGGTCAAGATGCAATGCTTCCAAACATGCATGACCACTCCATGTCCATGACCACTGGAAAGGCTCGTGTTCAAGTCTTGGTGCCTGGATCCAAGGTAAAGAAAGTAGCCCGGCAACACGAGAAGTGTGGCTTCTTCTGAAGCACGAGAAGCTAGTTGGTTTCCGAAGCTGGGTGAAAAGAAGATCCTGCAATACCAAGCAAGGATTTGAATTAGCTTGTACTTGTTTGCAAAGGGTTTTGAGGAGAGGGCTTTTCAGTCTTTGAGCTCAAACACATGGAAAGCGTATGGATTGGCAATTGCCAGAGGCTCCAGCAGCTTGAGCCACAGTCTTCATGTCCAAGAGCATTGTTTGTTGAGGTGTCGGTGTCATTGTGACCTGGCCAGACACAGCTGGATTCAATTCTTCGTACCTCCTTGGCCTACCAGTCTGAACTAGAATACCTTCAAACAACTCATGTAATCATAATCATCCAAGACCATAGCAGGGTTTCAATGCCTTGGTGCAAATCAGACCTTTCGCGACCATGTCCCAAGGCATGGAGGGGTTCTGAATTCATGCAGCCTTGCATGTTTGGGTGCACAGACTAGAGAAACACCTGACTGCTATTGTAAAACCTGACTGGAGGGCCAGCTGCCCAGCTGCTGCGCGATGCAGCGGCCGCACCCTCCCGGCGAGAGCTTTGGCGTCGAGCGTTGGCGGCGTTGCCAACACAGGCAGATTCAGAATGCCTGGAACCTTTTGAGCATCCTTGAGCAAACAGGGATGGTCCTGGTTTGGAAGTGACCTGTGGTCGTCCTTCCTTGCAATAACCTCCACCTCCCTGTTCATGATGGACTCATAGGCATAAGGAAGAGCAGCTTGTGCTTGCTTGTGGCCGAGGGGCAAGATGATTCAACTCAAGAGCTCGCAGCAGCGGATGCGCAGCTCAGCTCTTCTCATGGGCGGAAAGAACCCAACTGGATAGACATGAATAAACGTGACACTTTGCACCAAAACAAATTGCAAAGCCAAGGCTAAGGCGGCACCTGCAACATAGTGACATTCTCGGCTTCCTGTATTCTGTGGTTTCAATGTTGAAACCGTGCTTTGGGATTTGGGTCAAGCCTATTTTTCCCTCACAAATCGTCAGTTTCACTCCTCTCAGGAGGGGCTCCTTTGCCCGCTTTGTTGAATCAGCGGCTGCAATCAGCCAATGGCAATCATTTGTCTCAGGCTGCCAAGGCCGATGGACGGTGTGGCGTGGTTGATAGGTTTCGCATGGATTGTGTTTAACCCGGCTTTTGTTGAGGACGGTTTTACCCTAAGCTTTGGCTGTGTTTTCTTGTAGACCGTTCCTTTGGTCAGGTACTGTGGAACCCCAAGGGTGCATGGAACCGTAGAAGGTCTTCTCAAGCGCTGCAATGGGGCAAGGGGAGGGCGAGATGAAGAAGTAGGGAAGAAGAGAAGGAAGGGACGAGTAGCAGGAAGAGAGAGGAGGACGACGAGGCTGCACGACGAAGGAAGGAGCGCCATTTCGCAAGTAGTGCAGGAGGCAGGCATTGACACAGCGTGAGTGTCTACGAGTCGCACTTGTTTCCCTCGTCTCTTTGCAACTCGCACTCCTCTTTGCTACTCGGGCCTTCGGGGTGGGTTTTTCACCTGCGGCCTGGAGAGTTTCGATGTTTGCGCAGCAACGAACCTGCTTTCCTCCCGACCACACACATTGCGTTTGCGCAGTCTGGGGCCACAGTTGGGAACATGAGCATCACACACTCTGTTTGGGATTTGCATCGTTACAATGTACAAGTCAAACAAGAAGTGTCAAGCCCAACTTAGCCTTGTATATGGGCTTGTTTATGCTCTTTATCTCAAAGGGAGGGCTTGTCGAGCGGTTGAAACTTGTCGGACATCGACACCTCACAACAATTTAAAAGTGCGGACAGCATTTGCATCGGTGGCACTTGAGGTCCCTGGACTTCTGCCTTCACAGGCTTCAAGATTAAAGATGAAGCTAACATTCTTGAAGAGAGGTCTTTACAGAGGAAGAACAGACTGCAGATCTTCCATTGGAAACGATTGTTGCAAGACGTCTCCCTGAGGATGCCTCACACTTTCGGCTCGATCCTGTAATTTCTGCAACGACTGATGCTCAAACTGTGAAGTCCAATTATATAGTCAGCCCTGCCTTGATTTTTGTTATTTTCCAGTTATGGGTGGGTTGGTTTTGCGAGCCCCTCATTCGTTGGAATGCTGCCAACTATCTCGCGCGACTTTGACTGCTGCAATTTTTGATTCTTTCCAGGTCTGTGCGAAAGGCTGGCTTGCGCCATGTTGGTCCATGTGGGATCCGTGGAATGGAAAAGCTTCATTGCGGCCGCCGGGCTTCTGCGTGCGATTCATGGAATGCTTGCGAACTGTGTGATCGCCTGACTGTACAGCGCGACTAGCTTTCGTTCTTTCTCACACACCAGGGCTCTTTGACTCGAGGCTTTGCTGTGCCTCATGTTCAGGCCTGGAGGCTGGGCTTGAAGCTGTTGGGTGAGCAGTGGGCTAGCGTGGGCTGAGTCCCCCACGCCGCGCAGGGCCGGGCAGTTTGGCTTGCTTGCGCTGAGTGCCTTCTTGAATTCATTGCTGCCTTGGCCCGGCAGCAATGTTGATTTTGTTGGCAAGGTGTCCTGATGAGCAAGGCATGGCTTTGTTCCGGCTTTTGGCATTCTGCTGCCAGCCAGTGCTGGAGAGGTGTTTTTTGTCATGAAGTGGCAGGACCTTGTCTTTTCTGACACTGCCTTTTTCTGCAGGAAGCTCTAACCCGAAGCTAGTCGCTGGCCGGGAAAAGTTGGCCGTTCCGATTGGAAGGGGGCTAGGCATCTACTTCGTGTTCGTCAGCTTGCGCACCTGAAGCGGAACATGAGAAGTCGAGTTCAAGAATGAAGCTAACATTCTTGAAGGGAGGTCTTTACAGAGGAAGAACAGACCGCAGATCTTCCATTGGAAAGTCGATTGTTGCAAGACATCTCTCTGAGGATGCCTCACACTTTCGGCTCGATCCTGTAATTTCTGCGACGACTGATGCTCAAAAACTGAAGTCCAATTAGTCAGCCCTGCCTGATTTTTTGAGATTCCCGTCCCATCTTGCCATCTTGACATCTAGATATCCTAGACCCGATCGCATCGGGCCACTACTTGCGGATTAGCTATGTTCGAGTCAATTAAAGTTGGTTAAATAATTTTTACAGCGTTTCATTGGGATTGACATGCAGCGTGCGGATGTAAATCAATCAAACCCACACTCCTTTAGAACTAGCGTTTTTGTGTTTTATTTTTGCACTCTTTGGGTCTACCTTTTTGGTGAGAAATCTTGTTTGGGTATCAGCGTTCCATTGGGATTAGCTCCCGGGGTGACTGGGGGATGACTTCTTGGAAATAGCGTTGCCATGGTGTTTTGTCATTAAATTAGTGGCAAGGGATGACAGGGATGATTTTGTCAGGTTCCTGTATGCCCCGCCCCTTCAAAACGTCTGAAAGCTCCTGAGGAAGCAGGGATTTTACACTTCTGGTGTCAAAGAGCAAAAATCGGAGGGTGAAGCTCTTCATGATTGCTATCCTCATATTCCTCATTGTTTCTTTGCTCATTTTCTTGCGAAGCACACTTTCCATTTCATATTGATGATGAAAGTCACTGATTATCCAATGGGGCGGAGGAAAAGACAAGATTCACAAAGAAAACCACGAAAAAACATGAAAAACTACAAAATAAGAAACGGGTGTGAAAGAGAGAAAGAGAGGAAGGGGGCAGGCCGGCATGAAGGAAGGAAGGACAGACGGACAGACAGAAAGAGTTAAAGAAAGACGGAGAGCGATATATGATATATGTGTATATATATAGAGAATGAGAAGAAACTCAGCAAAGGAAAGGATGGTGGGATGGGATGCAAGGGGGAAGTTGAGCAGGAAAAAATATATTCTTCCAACCTGGATCCGAACAACTAATAACTAATCACGGCGTACTTCTGCAGCTTCTTAACCCTATTCATTTGGGCAGATGACTCGGCTGGATGAGTTTTTGTTTTAAGTAATTCTACCCCGGGCACGCATGAGTTGTCCCCAAGCACTTTGAGGGGGCAGCAAATCCCTGTAAATTTTGTAGCCATTGGAGGCTTTGTCATTGATAAGTTTGGCGGTTCGATGACGGACGTTACATTACAACAGTCAGGCGGCTCTCACTCTACATACACATCACCAATTCAACAATGATCAACTTCTCAGCAATTCCATACGGACAACTGTGCAATCCCTAAGCCAAGAACCGATGATCCCTATAGTCAATTGGTAAGGTGTACGTCCTGGCACTGATCCTACTTGTTTTTATGTGGGGGGTCCTCACATTCCAATAATCAAGGCACGAAACATATTTTTTGCAAATGCAGCCATATGATACTATGGCCTCTTATTTTTCAGAGCAGCCCTTTGATTTCAGAGGCCTATGCCACGTTGCGGGTGAGAGATCGACCGGTTCTTGTGGCACTGCAGAGACGCACCGCTGAGCTCGTCCATGATTCGCGCCTGTGGGCGGGAAACTGAGTTGCCAAAGCTTAGGCAACTTTCCAGAGTATGCCCATCAGAAGGGAATGTGGAACTTGGACCCTTGTACATACTTATGTGAGCTTCTCACTTGACAGTTGGTTGCCTGGAGATTGAGCAGCTATTGAATTGTTTCATTTGGGCCGCCTGCAGGGGCAATCCTTGGCAGAATTATTGGATTCCTTTGGGAAGTTGGCTGGGCGGGGAGAAGCCTCTGGACAGCGTGCTCAGAATGCGCAGGCCTGCCCTCGACAGAGAGAGAGAGAGAGAGAGACAGAGAGAGAGAGAGAGAGAAAGAGAGAAAGGGAAAGACAGCGAAAGGGAAAGGGAAAGGGAAAGGGAAAGGAAAAGGGAAAGAGAAAGGAAAAGGGAAAGGGAAAGAGAAAGGGAAAGGGAAAGAGAAGGAGAAGGAGAAAGAGAAAGGGAAAGGGAAAGGGAAAGAGAAAGAGAAAGGGAAAGGGAAAGGGAAAGAGAACGAGAAAGATAAAGAGAAAGAGTGTGAGGGTGCCTTGATCGACACGAGGCTGAAGTTGAGGCCATCAGCATGGCCTGGAAGGGCCTAGCACGAAATGTGGGAGATCGCTTTGTTCACAGTGCCCGTGAAATGCGCACCTCGCCAAAGCCAACGGAACTTGCAAACCTGTCGTGATACCTTGGCTTGAGTTGCCGACTTGCATTCTCTACGGCAGCTCAGGTCTCATTGATATTGCAGTTGGGCTTGGTGGGCTGGCTCGTTTGGGAGCACACGCTAAGGCACCTCCGTCCAAAGCAGGGAGCAGATTTTCATGAAGAACACCAAGTTGCAGGTGCTACAGCCTTTGCAAAAACATGTCCTTGCGGCTTTGCAAGATCCGACCGGCAGCACGGGCGGTGACATCCCCTCAGAGAGGAGTTAGCGAATTTACTTCAAGACATTCTGATGTTAGCTGTTTCCAGTGTTTGCTGTCGTTATGCCATGCATGTCCGAAGGAAACCGTTGGATCCGCGACATGTGGCTACCCTTATAGCCAGCTATGCCACTTGTGCCCGCCTTGGCCACAGAGATGATGCTGTCCTGGAAGCAGCCGGATCAGCCCTGGAGACAAGTGTGATCCATGGGAGTAGCTGCTGTGTGCCCTTACGACCAGTTGTACGTTGTACTATATATATATATAGCCATATGATTCTTGTTTGTTTTTTTGTTTTTTTGTATGTGAAGCTCTTTGCATTCTTTCACGACGGGCCTCCTTGCTGGCTCAAAGAAGCTACGAACAGCCGCGTAGCTTCCCTGTCGGGGCGTTTGCCTCTCAATGTCGTGACAGTGAAGAGAATCGGAATGCCTCATGTGGTCTTAGAGCGTATTCGAAATGCGCCCTTCACTAGGTTGGATGCCGGGAAAGAGCGAGCTCATGCGGAGCCAATCACGCGGCTTGATGCACGGGCAGCATACATGATTGAAGGACTGGAGCTCGCGGCCAATGTCATTTTTGTTGCCGGAAGTGCTTGCTTTTGGCCAGCCTTTGCTCACGACATGGATGTGTTTCTACTTGGGTGTGAGCTTTTCATCCTTGGGAGCTTTGTCTACTGCTGCATCACAGTGTACACGTTGTGTGAAGCAGTGCACTACCATGACAACATTCTGAACTTCGAATCCATTGAGCACGTCCTGTACTTGCTCGGCTCCTTGCTCTATCTCGTGGGAACAGTGATGTATTGGCCGCCTGAGATTGACCGATACCAGCTCACTTGGCTGGCAAAGCACTTGTCTTTGGGCGTTTACTTCAACCTTTTCAGCACTCAATTTGAAGGCACCATTCTTTTCATGGTCGGCTCGGCCTTTTTTGCCTTTGCTTCCTTTGTGAATGGCCTCAACCAGCGGAGCTTCGACACCTTCACCAACCAACTTCTCACCGCAGTGACGTCGCTGTATCTAGGCGTGGGATGCGTCACACAGCCACCACAGCCCACATCTCACCTGCACCGAACGAAAGGGGTGCTGCACAGCGGAGATTCAGGGATTATATAGGCGGCAGTATGTATCATGACCTTATGTCATAGATCTTCTGGTCCTTGTGTCAGCTGTAAACTGTTTTGCCCTCTGCATGGGCAGCGGCATATCCCACATACCTTGATCCAGTGGGCACATTGGGGTATAAGATTGGATAGTCGGCTAGGACCTCTGTGAAGGGGAGATAGTGATGGCCTCCAACCTAATAGGCATGGCCTCCGACCTGATAGCAAAGGCCTCCATCCTAATTGCGATTGCCTCCAACCTACTAGCGATGGCCTTCAACCTAATAGCGACATAGATTATGACCAATTACCCCATCCATGCATCAAGTTTGCGGCATCAAACCTGGCGACCTCGGTCTCGGCACCCGTCTGCTATGCTGGTCTCGGGCTGGGACCTGAACAGGTGGCGCGCTGTTCTTCGTCATGGGCTCCGTGGCCTTTTTGCCCGACTTGGGCTGCAACGGGAACATGGTTCGCATCGGAGCCTTGGATCGGAACCGACACCGAACCGTGGAGCGGGTGCCGGCTGCCGATCGCCCCGAAGGTTTGGTGGAAAACGAGCCCCGTTCGTAGCTTCTTGTTACTAGTAGTGAGGCCAGGAGCCCCTAGTAGCGTCCTTGCTCTTAGTAGCGATGCCCTTTGCTCCTAGTAGCTTCTTGACAAGCTTGGAGAGAGAATGGGTTTCTAGGAAGTACATATCGCTCGCGACGCCCGATGTCAATTTTCGATTCCGCCTTCGCATTCCTTTGGAGTGAGGTGCGACCCTGTACATCTCTGGCAGTGTGCTTCTGGGTGTGGGATCCATCATCAGCATCTACCGAACGAGCTACGTCCTGTCAAACCCTGAGAACCAAGTCTTGAAGACCAGCTCGTCCTCGGCTTCTACACCTATTGCGGAAGAAAAGATGCCACAAAGTCAGGCATAGACCAAGTTACAGGCGCTGATGCCACAAAAGGGCGTGCAGATCCCAAGCTGCAGTGTCCACAGGCTGACACCAACACACACACATACGTTACGTCCGCAGTCCTGATAGAAATTTCTTTGGAAGTGCAGGAGCGATGCTGCCGACAGGGGAGAGACCTTGCTGCCGGCTGGCTGCTTCCCTTCATCAAATCGCAACTTGACGAGCAAGTGCAGAAGTTGCCAAGTCTGCAAGGTGGCACCTTACTACTAGTAACAAGAAGCTACTAGGGTGAAGGCCATCGCTAGTAGGTTGGGGGCATCGCTGCTAGTATGTAACAAGAAGCTACTAGGTTGCACGCCATCCCTATTAGGAACAAGAAGCTACTAGGTAGTAGGTTGGAGGCCATCGCTACTAGTAACAAGAAGCTACGAGGGTGGAGGCCACCGCTAGTAGGTTGGAGGCCATCGCTACTAGTAACAAGAAGCTACTAG